TGAACATCTGACTCACCTAAATGCACAAGTGCTCTCAGGAAAAGAATATATGTATCTCAATTTGTTGCTATCTGTGTGGTATACAATATGGCTCTTGCACTACCAAGTAGACTAGGAATAAGAATGAACCTCGTCATTGCCTTTCGTACTTCTTTGCAAACTCTCTGAGAAGCAATCTCTTCCGAAAATCCAGATATTTGTCCAAGCTAGTTCCAGCCCACTGCTGGCAAAAGCTTTCATCAGTTGGAACCAGCGAACTCAAAGGAAATGGCCCTCTTGGAGCTTTCTTCAAGGAAACCAAAAATCTATGGCGGGGTCGAATTCGCTGGTCTAGAGACAAGCTTAGGTAGGTTGGATATTTGGTCAGGGAATGGACTTCATTTCTAAGTTCATTGATCAAGTACATGTATTTAGGTTTCAGATTTCCCTCCAAAGATAGAGAGAATACCTGCATGTACAGATGACATCATCTGAAAATTCAATTTCATTGTGATGTTAAGCAAAAGAAGATCTATATGAAAAGGTAAAAGTATTAGAGGGCAAATTGGTTAAGCAACCCAGTAGTAGTTTGAGGTAAAGAAGCAACTGCATAAGAGAATCCAGCTGACCTGTGTAAGGCTAGTTAATACTTTCAGTATGTCAGAGTTGCGCATCCCAATACTTCTCAAGAAATTGATCCTGGGGCGTAATCCATCTTCGATGCTGTAGTGAAGTATTTGAGGATGTTTCGTGACCATCTTTACTATACTCTCTCTTGGTGCTCCCAACTCTTTTGTTAGAAAATTGTAACGAGCATTCCACGTATTGTCTATCCGCTGAACCAAAATTTGAGGGCTTAACTGCACAACTTTACTTAGATCAGTCTTCTCAATCCCTATCTCCTCAAGAAGGTACTTGACTGTGGGTCTTAAAGAATTGTCGATACTGTAAGAGAACAGGGATGGAGTGGTAGTAATTATTTGCCCTATTCTCGATTCTGGAATGCCCAAGCTACCCAAAAAGGCAACATGGGACTTCAGATTGTTTTCAATGGTGTACCCCAAAATTTGAGGCTGTCTCAAAATCATTTTTCTGATATCTCTATGTTTGACACCAACACTCAACAAATATCCCAATCTTTCCTCTGCCGAGTTAACATTTATCTGAAGGGATGGCATATGCCTTTCATACATTTGAATAAAGTGTGATTCCTTAAGGCCAAAACTGCTCAAATAATCAAGAAGTGGAAACCATCTTTCATCTAAGTCTAGTTCTTCTGACAAACAAGAGAATCTGTTCTTACTATAATTTTCTGCTTCCTGGTGCAATCAGATAAACAGCAAAGATTATGTGGGTCATTGCCACCCAAAGTCACACTTAACAGCTATTGATGATTGTTACCTTTTCTCTGATATCACCTAAAGAAACAGCGCTTGCTGATTGTGTGGAAGTGTCATACAAAATGCCACTCTCTCTCTTTTTTAGGATGTCTTTGTCATTCTTTATACCCAACTTGTGTTGCCTTGTTTCAAGGTTTTGTCCAGAATTTGATGGGCTTGTACCCCCAACTCTCTTTAGATGCCTG